CTCCAGCCTGGGTAACAAGAGCGAAACTCTGTCTCAAAAAAAAAGGAGGGTCAGGACTCAGTGACTTGACTTCCATGGAATATTCTGGAATATATCCGTTGAGAGACAAGAATTGACTTTATGGTTTATTTCTCTATTCTCATGCCTAAATTTTTTATATTAATCTCCTGGTTTACACACTTATTTCTATTCTGCCACCACAAAAGTTAGGGCAAGAAGACATAAATATCAGAGCAAGCTTTTACTAATTTCTTTTTGTAAAAAAATAAATAAATAAAGATAGCTTCCTGCTGAACCAAGAGTCTATCTAATAAGACACAAAAATATGAAATCATTTTCAACAAGGTCTTGAAATTTTAGACAAAACTCTGCAAGGCAGAGAGAAGTACATTTGAGCACTGAGAATCGATACCACTTAATGCTATGCCTGCGTTCCCAAGGCATCACAAGACACTCAGTACTTTTCAAGATGTTAGAATTCAAACTTAGCTACCATGTTGGAAACAAAGCTCAGTGTGTTTTACTGATTAAAAGCAATTCCATGGATCTGGCTTTTCCAGGACATGGCGATGTCCAGACATTAGCAAAGCAGGTGAAAATGGGAGACCTGCGGGGAACAAATATCCCATTGTGGCTGTCACCTGGGAATTCCAACGGGCAGCCCATTCTGCAACAAGAAGTTTCCAGTTCAGGCTGGAGGGTTTCCTGTGCACAACAAAGACCTTTCACCATACTGCTGGGCTCTGGCTTAGAAGAGGGGGAAATTAACAGAAGAAAATGGGTGTTAGAAGAAGGAGATTGGGGCAGAGGAGGAGAGAGAGGTCACGTAAAACAAAGATGCCTCAAAATAGAGAGGGGGCAGGCAAATGAGGTTGCACACCTGTTTCTGGTTTCTGCTCTCTGCAGTCTGTTTGTGCTTGCAGGAAGAACTTCTGCCTTGCTCAGAGCCGTAGACCTGTAATGTGAGTTGACCTTTCTCAAGAAATTCACAGCTAGAAAAAGTTGGCAAGGTTTGACTGAAGCTGGGAGTGCTTCCCTAGGTCATGCGCAACTACTCTCACAACTTAAATCCTCCTGCACATGTTTGAAAATCTGAGTGTCTTCATTTACTCAGTGTTTGATTTAAGAAAAAGAGAACCAGGAACTCCAGGTGAACAAGTTTTCGAAAGCTGTCAGTGGAGAGGTACTGGTTACAGGTGTAGGAATGAGTTCAAGGGGGTGCGGCTTTATGGTAAGCCTGCCAAGGCCCCTTCTCTCCTCAATGGATGCCAGCAGGCAGGTCCCTGTGGCCCCCACAAAAGGGGGTTCTGACCCACCTGTAGCCTTGAATTCAGCTTTCCTTGCCAATTAGCTCTGCGATGAGCCGATATGCTCTTTACTTCCCTGAATAAGAGGCTGCTGCAGATACAGAGGACAGGAAGGTTTCCAGTGACTAATTTGCCTATAACTTTAGTCATCTTCACCAGTGCCAAGGAGTTTGTGGTTTCACCGTGACTCATTCTGCAATGTTCATGGCTGTAGAAGCAGTGAAGGAGAGTGAGTGAAGCAGCCCCGGAGAGGCTGAACCTGGGGCAGCCAGGGCGCTGGGTGTCGATGGTTCTAGATAAAACCGCCCACCACATCCATCCCATGACTTTGGATGTGACTCTTGTGTGTCGATGGTGTGGGTTGACCTGTGCCTGGAGAGGCGACCTCTGTGTTGCTCATGAGGACCTGAGGGATGGCACTCCACGCTGCCACTCCAGACAGAACCCACACCTCCAAGGTAGTCGGCTTAGTGTTTCAACACCTCCCTGTCATGATCCCCTCTGACCAGACAAAGCTAACACAGGCCAAAGACCGGCCTACTTCTTATCACTCTTCCCGCAGCTCCTGAACTCCAGGCCTTGATAGGAGGCCAAGAACAAGAAGTTCTGCCTCTGGTTGTGGCCATTTCTGCTGAGTCATGTGGACTCAGCGCCACTTTCCACAGATATTTTAAAAAGAACTGCCCCACAGCTTCATTAGGTACCGTACCTGACAGCAAAGAAGAGCTCACTGAAAATATCTAAATAAAAACATACAAGTCCTGACATACTGGGATGACTGAGCTTCTAGAAATGCCAAGAAAACTGATTTGGGTTTAATGATAAGCTGTGGTTGCACCATCATGGAGCAGTTTCAGGAAACATTGAGGACACTGATAGAGAACTACAAGGTCAACATGGAAAATGAGCAAGATGAAGCAGAGGCATTACACAGACTCCAGTGCCCCAGAAAAGGTGAACGGGAAAGCATGACGTAAGAGCTGCCACTCCGGATCCAACCCGTAGTCTGCTCCAGCCAGTGTTCTGGAGTTTGCAAAAGAATATTTCACAGGATGATTTCTAGATTCACACGTTTGTTGGATATGGATGTATGTCAGGGAGCGTCCTGGTGCATCACCCCCAACTCCAGCCAATACGCTCCGTGGATCCCTCCCGGGATGTTTACAGCTCAGGTCAAATTTCAGAGCTAAACCCAGCTTCCCACCTCAGGGCCCTTCTCCACCAGCCTGTCCAGGGACAAAACTCAACGTAACTCAAGCCTGGATTAGTGAGCAGAGATGGGCTCTCCCTGTTGGAGAATGAGAGCATGCATTATTTAAGTTCCTTTTCACTTAATTTATCAAACTAATATGCCGAGGTATTTTCTGTATCACAAGGGACCGTTTGGTAACAGCTTGCATGGAGTAAGCGTTTAATGTTTACCGAGTGAATGTATAATAAGCTGAATCGCTGAACGCTTAAGTAAACATGGCCTATTAGAGGGAAGGCAGTGCGGTGTCAGTAAGGAGAAATCACGTCTCACTAATCTCCTTGAGTTCTTTGAGCAGATAAATAAGCATATGGATAAGAGGGAACCACAGAACCCAATTTAATTTGACTTTCAAAAACCTGTGAAAAAAATCCCACTTTAACGACTGCTTTTTAAAAAATTGAGTCACTAAGGGTTGTTTTATCATGGCTATGGAATTGGCTTAAAGACCATAAACAAAGCTAAAGATAAGTGGACACGCTCCCAGATGGAAAACTATAAACACCGGGGTTTCCTGGAGATCTCACCTACGATGGGTCTTTTCGCATGTTCGTGAATGACCGAGACGAAGAAGACTATATTGCAAATCCAGGTTCAAGTTATACCTCGTTCTTCTGGGACGAATGTCAAGTTGATGGGGATTCCATTCAGTTGGAACAAGAATATATTGGATGCTGAAGAGTCAATATGTGTTTATGTCATAGGGTATAAAAAAGAAGTACAAGATACAGTTCTTGGCCTTAAAGAGCTAATAATCAAGCTAGAGTGAAAGTCACATTCTCCTTTACTGTAAATAGTGGAAGGCACAAGGGGATCAACTGTGACAAGGAGTGACGCACATAGTGAGTGCTGTCAGAGTTCAGGGAAGGGGAAAAGTGGATGGGGATGGAGGCAGGGAAGGCTTCCTGGAGGAGGCAGAATCCGAGGAGTGTCTTGAAGAATAGAAAGAGTTTGGATGGGTGTGGAAGGGGTGGAGGGTTTTCTTGTGAAAGCACTAATGTGTCACCTGCCAAGTACTGTGTAGAGGGAGAGGTTATATGCATGACCCCATCTGGCTTTGCAACAGTCCAGTAAGGTGGATCATAACCCCCAACTCCAGGCCTTGAGAGGAGGCCAAGAATAAGTTCTGCCACTGACTGTGACCATTTCTGCTGAGTCATGTTGACTCAGCTCCACTTTCCATGATATTTTTAAAAAGAGCTGCACCAGCTCCTTTTTAAGTTAAGAAATGTGGCCAGGTACAGTGGCTCAGGGCTGTAATCCCAGCACCTTGGAAGGCCAAGGTGAGAGTATCCCTTGAGGCCAGAAGCTAGAGGCCAACCTGGACGACATAGTAAGACCCCATCTCTGCCAAATATTTTTTTAAAAAATTAGCTGGGCATGGTGGCACACACATGCAGTCCCAGCTACCTAGGAGGCTGAGGCGGGAGGATCACTTGAGCCCAGGAGTTCGAGGCTGCAGTGAGCTCCGATCACACCACTGCACTCCAGCCTGGAGGGCAACACCCTGTCTCCAAAAAAAAAAAAAAAAAGAATGTGCTCAAACTCACATCATAATAAATATGAGCCCCACTGTTATGCTACCTTCAATTCTGGGGCAGTGTCAGCGTGAGCAAGGCAGAAGAGGTCAGGCCTCTCCAGAGCAGGTGAGGGTGAGCAGGGAGAGGCTGGAGTGACCGCTTGAATTGGGGAGTGGTGAGAGACCGGATGGAGCACAGACAATGGATTTAAGTCACGAGGGCCCTTAAATATAGTCTGGGGAACTTGAACTTAGTCCTGAAGGCTTAATCCCGTGCTGAGTGGAAGAGGAAGGAAATTGGAACCATACTCTGGAGTTTGGGGCCCTGGACCTAGTCTGGGTGGAGGGTGGATGAGGGGGTGTGAAAGAAATTAGGAAGGGCAGACAAATGGCTTGGAGGAGAAATTGACCAAAGCTCAGAGCAATGTTATTTGGTCCCCTCTGCTTGAACATGTGCATCGGGTATGTCTGTCCCTAGCACACCGAACCTCTTTCAGGTCAGCTCTCAGGGTCACATGTCCTGGTGGCATGGGAGGAAATATGGAGACACCGGTTGGCAAGTGCTGTCTCATGTCTCATGGGCTCGGGCAGTCTCAAGAGCTGTGGCAGATTCCTGGGAGTGCCTTTGCTGCTTGCTTGGATATGACTTGGTGGTCCATGCACTTTGACTTACTGTCTTTTTAATAGCTTCAACTTCCCTTGAGCTTTAGCTTTCTTGAAGCATTTCTTAAATGTAAATGCCACTCTTTTGTACCAGTCCCATAGATCCCTTTTGAAAACCTGAGTTTGATGAGGAGCTCACTTTTGAGTGGAACTGACATAAACCTGATCAGAGGCCTGATTGCATCCCCATTCAATCTGACATGCAGTGCCTCCATCTTAGAACGATTCCCACTCATCTATATGCAGAAACAAAACTACGTACCATTCTGTTGGTAAAGTTACTGAAGTTCTCGACTAACACCTGCTTGATCATGTCCGGCTCGGAAATAACAATAAACATCCGACGACCAAGATAGTACCTGGGAGGAATAAAACATGTGTTAAAATGCGTTACATTTACCCATGTCTCCTTTCCAAAAAAGAATTCACAGTGGCTCAGAATGAGGGATGAAAGATAACCAGGAAGTAAAGGTGTGGAGACAATGAGGAAATGCATGTTCCCATCATGAGCAACCATACAGCTGTGATGATATAACATCAAATTTCTTTCCATCAGCACTCATGGAATACCGCCTTGCATCAGTCCCTGGAGACGCTGGCTGGAATAAGATACACTCCCTGCCCCAAGGAGCTTATTACAGCCTAATAGGAAAGACAGAGCTATACATGTAAATGCAATAATAAGGGGTTCATAAGGTCCAGTAGTAAGACAAAGAAGGAAAATGGCAGAGGTCAGTGTTGTCTGTATTTCCTCAAAATGTCAAGATAGGGATTCTAGCAAGAGAAGACCAATGAACCTTATACTAATTCTCAGAATATATCTAATGTGAATCAGTAAACAGATGCTTGTGAGGAAAGATTAAACCTGCTTGGGAAGAACTGAATATCTGGTTGCCACACCTATATATAAAGGAGCTCAACAGATACTTTTTTTAATATTTTATTTTTATTTTTGTGATGGAGTCTTGCTGTTTTGTCCAGGCTGTAATACCGTGGTGCTATCTCAGCTCAATGCAACCTCCGCCTCCTGGATTCAAGCAATTCTCCTGCCTCAGCCTCCTGCGTAGCTGAGATTACAGGTGCCCATCACCACACCCAGCTAATTTTTGTATTTTTAGTAGAGACAGGGTTTCACCTTGGTGGCCAGGCTGGCCTTGAACTCCTGACCTCAGGTGATCCCCCCCATCTCGGCTTCCTGAAGTGCTGGGATTACAGGCATGAACCTCTGTGGCCAGCCCTCAACAGATACTTAATGACAATAATGAAGCTATGGATGAAAGGTTCATCCAGTCAGCTGGTGGCATGAACTCTAACTGGAGATAGTGCTTAAATACATGTCATATTATATTTATGAAAGTACTGGGGGCACAAAAGCAATCAAGACCCAGTCACAGTTTCCAAGGGTCTGACCATCTGACAGGTGAGGCAGTTAGGCAATTAACATATAGTGTGATGTTCTGGCAGGCATGAGTGACCCTGGAGGCACACCCTCAGTGCCTAAAGGAGAGAGAGTGAAGGCTTCCCAGAGGTGGTGCTTCCCAAGCTGAGTTCTGGAAGATGGCAAGAGTTGGTCCAGGAAGAAGGGGTGACAAAGGAGGCAAGGGTGTGCTGGCTGGAGGAATCAGCCTGAGCAGTTGGGCCAGGAACAAGCCTGCTTGGGGGAACCATGAGTGTCCCCCTACCAACTGCGCAAAGCAAGCCAGAGTGATGACAAGCGGCCCACTGTATAATGACATGTTTTCAGTGTATGAAATTATACTTTCAGGGATGTAATTTGATCACTGGTGTATCCAGCTCAAAGCAGTAAGGAACAGATTTTAAAGGGGAAAGTCACACGGAAAAGCAGCCAGTTACTCTGGCACTTATTTACTAAGAACTTTTCATAAACCTAAATGACATTAATTTTTTTAACTCTTTTCTTTCTCATCGACTATGAAAAACAATAAAAAATATTTGTCTGTCACGTATTAGGCACTTGGAAAATATGATGACTCAGGTAAATATTTTGGAAAATATTTACCTGAGTCATCATATTTTCCAAAATTGTCAGGAAAATCTTTGGGAAACAGGAATTCAATAGATGTGGTACAAAGAAAGAAAAGAATACTAACTAGTTTTTGTGTGTTTGTTTGTTTTTACTGATTTTAACCAAGAAAACAAAAAACAACTCAATAAGTCCATAAACCAATGCTTTTATAAAATTTCTGGTGAGGGTCATGGGGTCTTTTGAGAATCTAGTGAAAGCTGTGAACACTTAGAGCATTCTGTATGCAATCTGAGAAGTCCTCGGATCTCTCAACCCCACTTCAGAGAAATGTTTCTCAAATTTGCACTGTGCTTAAAAGTCACCTTGGCTTGAAGAAATAACAGCTGAAAATTTCTCCAATTTCACAAAAGACATAAACCTACAGATTCAAGAAGGTGAGTGAATCTCAACTTGATGAACCCACGGAAATCCATGCCAAGATACATCATAGTTAAACCTCTGAAACTAAAAAAGCAAGAAAAACATCTTGAAAACAACCAGAGAGAAATGATGTATTATCTATAGGGAACACCAGTTCAAAGGACAGTAGGTTTTTTTAATCAAGAACCATGGAAGCCAGAAGGAAGTGGCACATTTTTCAAGTGCTGAAAGGAAATAACTGTCAATCACAAGTCATCTATTTGGTGAAAGTATCCTTCAGGAGAAAAGTGGAAATAATGGCATTCTCTGATGAAGGAAAACTAAGAGATTTTGTCACTCACATATTTACCCTTAAAGAATGGCTGAAGAACATTCTCCAAACAGAAAGGAAAGGGAGATGATAACAGAAGAAATTTTAGAACTTCAGAAAGGAAAGAAGGATAATGAAATGGATAAAAATAATACACTATCCTTCTCAGGAGTCTCTTAAATCATACCTGATGGTTCAACCAAAAATTACACCATTATATGATGCAATACTCAATATACTTAGAGGAAATACTTAAGACAATTATATTTAAAAAGTAAGGAGGCTCAAGGGATCAAAATGGAAGTAAGATTTCTACACATCACTCAAAATGATAAGGCATTCATCCTCAGAGGTTGTTATAAATTACATATGTGTATTTACATAAGCACTAGGAAGACAAAAAACCTTATCAAGCACAGGGAAGGAAATAATAAAAAATAAGTGCAGAACTCAATGAACCTGAAAACAAACAAAAAAAAAAATAGAAAAATTCATGAACAAAAAACTGGTTCTTTGAAAAACATCAATAAAATTGATAAACCTCGAGCAAGACTAACAAAGATAAAAAAGAGAAGAAACAAACCACCAATATAAGGAATGAAATGGGATATCACTACAAATATTGCAGCCATTAAAAGGTTAAGGGATTCTACAAACAACTTTAGACTAATATATTTAAAAACTGGAAAGAAATTGACCAATGCTATGAAAACGATGGACTACTAAAACTCAACCAAGATGAATTAGACAATCCAAATAATCTTACAACCACAAAACAATGAATAATTTTAATTAAATTTCAGAATGTATTCATAATTTTTTTTTGTTTTTCACATCTACTTCTTGAATTAATAATTTTTTATTTGAATTCATAATTTTAAATTTCCTGAAAAAGACATCTCCAGGCCAGGATGGTTTCAATAGAGAATCCTACCAAATATTTAAAGAAGAATTAACACTAATTGTACAATATCTTCCAGAAGATAAAAGAGGAGGAAACACTTTACAACTCAATTTATGAAGTCTGGTTTACTCTGATACCAAAACCAGCCAAAGATAGTACAAGAAAACTATAGACCAGTATCCATCATGAGCTTAAATGCAAGAAATTTCAACAAATCAAGTCTAGCAATATATAAAAAGACTTATATACCAAAACCAAGGGGCATTTATTGTAGGTGTTTAAGACTGATTCAATATTTTCAAATCAATAAATATAATTCACTATATTAACTGCCTAAAAAATAAAAAATTATGTGATTGTATCAGTTGACATGAGAAAGCATTTGGCAAACTCCAGCACTTGTTTATGATAAAAACTCTCAGGAATAGAGAGAAAGTTCCTCAGCTTGATAAAGAACATCTACAAAAACCCTACAGCTAACATCATACTTAATGTGAAAGACTGAATGCCTTTCCTTAAGATGGGGAACAAGGCAAGGATGTCCTCTCCTACTACTCTTATTTGACATAGTATTGGAAGTTCTAGCCAGTACAATCAGGCAAGAAAAATAAATGAAAAGCATATAGGCTGAAAAAGAATAAATACAATTGTCCCTAATTTGAGATGACATGATATCTACAGAAGAAATACTAAGAAATTTCAAAACAATCTTAGAACTAATAAGTGAGTTCAGCAAGGTTGCAGGATTCCAGATCAACATACCAGAAAACAAAAAACAAAAAACATCAATAGCATTTCTACATGCTAACAATAAACATGTATAAACCAAATGAAAACACAATGCAACTTACAATGTTGATGAAAGACATAAAAGAAGACTGAAGTAAATGGAGAAAAATATCATGTTCATGAATTGGAAGACTACACAATGTAAAAGATATCAATTCTCGAAAAACTGGCATACAGGTTTAATGCAATTCCAATCAAAGTTTCAGCAAGAATATTTGTAGGTGTAGACAAATTTACTCCAAAAGTTATATGAAAAGGCAAAGAACTTAAAATAACTAACTCAATTTTGAAAAAGAATGAGGTGGGAAGAATCAGTCTACTACATCCCAAGACTTGGCTATAGTCATCAACAGTGTGTGGTATTGGCAGAAAGACAAACACAGAGATCAATGGGACAAAATAGAGAACCCAGAAGTAGACCCACATATATAAGCTCAACTGATAATTTTAATAACGATACAAAATCAGTTCAGGAAGGGTACGTTTTTCAACAAAAGATGCTAGAGTAGGCCAGGCATGGTGGGTCATGCCTGTAATCCAGCACTGTGGGAGGCCAAGGCAGGTGGATAACTTGAGGTCTGGTGTCTGAGACCAGCCTGGCCAACGTGGTTAAATGCTGTCTCTACTAAAAATACAAAAAGTATCCAGGCATGGTAGCACGTGCCTGTAGTCCTAGCTATGGGAGGCTGAGGCGGGAAAAGTGCTTGAACCTGGGAGGTAGAGGCTGCAGTAAGCCAAGATCATGCCACTGCACTCCACCCTCGGAAACAGAGTGAGACTCTGTCTCAAAAAAAAAAAAAAAAAAAAAAAAAAAAAGATGCTAGAGCAATTGACATACTGACATACATAGGTATAACATGAACCTTACACCTTATGCAAAAAATGAACTCAATATGGACCACAGACTTAAATGTAGAATGTGAAACTATGAAACTTAGAAAAATAAAAA